CGGGGGACAGGTCCGGGCCGGGGGGGGTGGGATGGCTGGAGGGGAGACAAGACATGTGGAGGGGGGTGTCTGGAGGGCACATGCTGGGAGTTGTAGTTCTCTAATAGCTATATATAAAGGAAAGCCCAGATGTGTGACGTGAGAGAATTCCCAGCAGCCAATCAAAACTCCTCACGTGGGCCGACCACAATGTAATGATATCTGGTGGTTATGCGTTGTACATCGCCGCTGCGCTGAGAGCCCCACTCACTCATTGTGCATATTCTCAGATGACGGCGGCAGTCGGAGGTGCCCAACCCCAGGCGGGAATCTGGCCCCGCCCACACATTGGGGGCGGGTTCATGGAAGAGGGGAAAGTGAACGATACGGCACGAGGCGCGTCCGTCCCAAACAAACGTTTCCCATTAACCCCTGAGTCCCCGACACGAAGGCTGCGCACGGATTAGGCTCCAGCGCTCTTTAGTCTGTGGCCCCCCAGCCAGCTGTCCGGGGGGCCCGGAGTTCCGATTCTTCAACACTTGCGGGCTGCCCGCTTTGCGTTTGATGCGGAACTCCGGGCTGACGATTCACACAGCTCTGTGACTGCTAAATGTATCAAATCCCTGAATCTGACCCGGTATCAGTACAGCAGAGCTCAGACTGCAAAAGGGAAAAAGCCGCAAGCTGATAGGGGGAGAGAGCTGAGTGACAGAGAAATTATACTGTCCAATCACAGACTGGGGGGTGGGTCCAAGATGGGCTTAGGGGAAGAGGGTTGAGTGATGCTGGTTGTCGGGCTAAGGACATCTTAGGAGAGATTTCACTTCCTGTCTGGTGACCACACAGGAAGTGAGAGTCTCGCGAACAGTAGAAACATCGCAGAGGTTCGAACCCTCCCCCGCTCTCTAAAAATACATTCTTGAAGTATCGCCCATCAAAAATCTGTTTTCTCTTTTCTAGTTTTCTGGATCAGCACAAAAAAAGGAAATCCAAAAGTCACTTCACATCCTGTACCGGCCCCCAATTGGCTGAATCTCTCTCCGGTGAAGGATTCGGTTGTTTCTTTGGCGCCTCTAATGGAAGATTTCTGTATTTTAATTCTCCATTTTGAATTTCCTACCTTCCAGGAGGATCTGATCTCCACCATCGGGGAGAGCGCGGCGCAGGGGGTGGCCGGAGTGATATTTTGGGGTGATGCGGAATACTCCAAGAATAAGGTGAGTTTTCCCCCTGTACACCATGTCCTAATCCGGGGGCTCCT